AAGTTTGTGGAAATTAACGACACATTTATTTCTATTAATTTCCTTTTGATGTTCAGTTAACTACTCTTGGTTTTCTTCAATTCGCGATTTCTAATATTATGTTGAAGCAAAATTTTCAAGCCTAACGGTTTTACGACTTTATACTTACAATATAACTTTCTTAGTATTGCCCTGGATTACTTATTGAAGATGGAGAAATCATCCATTCCTAAATTAGTAGGTAAAGAAGTAAATGGAATAAATGTTAAAATATTAAATCGACATAAATTTTTAGAGTGAAATAAATAAAGTTCATGTTAGAACATTGTATAAATGAGATTTTAAAACAAAGTAGATATTCTATATGGCATATTAATATTTGTAAATCATCTGAGGTAAATCTGGATTTGGAACCAATAAAGTTTATCTAAGTTTTAGATTCACTGACTTACACACGAACATTAGCGTAACTAGCAAATCATCCTGGAGGGGCCTAGGTCTTTTGTTTTTAAAAAAATTAAGAATAATTTAAAAAACACGTTTTTTTAAATAAAACGTTTACATGAATTTCTCTATCAGTAAATTTCATAGACTTGGTTATCAAGCCTAAGTGTTCCCGTAGAGTGTTCCCGTAGATTACTTAAATACATACAAATTTTCTAAAAAGATAAAAATTAACACATTTTTTGAACACAACTAAATACGAGTAATAATAACTAAACAAAACTAGAAAACGTCATTTTTAGTACATCACAAGCAAATAAAAATGAATACGTAGCCCAGAGTCATAATTCAAGATTTTTCTGGGGGGTGCTCAGCAGTACCTTGAGGGGCCCGGCACCCCCGGGCCCCCCTGTAGTTACGCCAATGCACACGAAACTCATAACATTGCAGCTTTAAGATTGCTGTATACCGTGCTGGCAACTGTTACTTTTGGGTCGGCATTTACATGTGTGGAAGTAAATCGCATAGGGATCTTATTATTATCTGACAAACGGATCTAAAACAGCAAGAGGAATGCGGGCAAAAAAAGTCGACGTTGTCACGTTTAATAATAGAAAAGCAAAGTTGCTCAATATTACCTATAAATTCAATATATTTTAGTCCATTTCAGCATACATAATTATATATATGCTAATATCTTGACGTTGTTCTTATTGTATTAATGTATATTTATCTAATTAACTGATCTCCCTAATTCTGCTTATTATAAAAGGTAAAGTATTTCCTAAAAATAACGTCCGCTTAGGGCAAGCTGGCAACGCTGACAAAATTCATCATGGCATCCCGGATTCAACCAATCTGATTGGTCGAGATTCTCGCACGTCTTGCTACCATTACCCCCAACTTTATGCCCCTCTCTAGGAATAGTAGAAACAGCCACTACTACTGAAAAATCCAGTGGCGGTGTATTATATTGTGTTTTATGCCTTTAACTTTATTTCTGCTTATTGTAATTAGTACACGCGTTTTAACAAATATTACTATATTTGGCAAATGACTAAACAAAATCTAGGTTACATTTAAAGTAAAATAATATTATGAACTTTACTGTAAAATATTATAAAAATTCCTGATATATTTTTATGAAACACCGCACGCTCCTGGATATTTTATGAATGAAATCGGTCATGATTTCACAATATTGCGATCCCCTTACCGTTGCCCCGTTGTTTCAGATCCGTTTGTCAGACTGTAAGTCGGAGTGAGAGAAATGCGACCGACCGACGCGACGCGCGACGGTGTGCTGTTGCGGCGTTGCCGATACGCCTTTCCCTATCAAGTAAAGTAAAATCACGATCGCAAACCGTTTACTTTTAAAAGACTTTTTTTTCAAGAGATAACTAGATATAATCATTAGACATGTTTCTGAGCATCTGAAATGGAATTATAAGGATATCGTTAGGGTGTCATTTTTTTTATAACGAGAAAACATCAGTAATCGCGATAATTTAAAAACTCAACTTTTTAACACATGACAGGCCTCAAGAACCACTTTAGATATTGAAACTTTATTTTTATTTTCAAGATCGGATATTTTACAATATGTTTACATAAGAAAAATTCGATAAGGTTTTTTTTCTATTCAAAAATTGTTAACAATCCATCCATTTACTTTTAGAGCATAGCAATTTTCAGCATCGATTTTCAATAGTGTAATTTTTTTATTGATAAAGATTTTCACATACTGTCTACAAAGAAAATACAGCAGAAATATTAACAAAGTTCTTGAAAAACTACAATCTATTATTTCTAATAGATTTCGAGATATCGATTTTTGAATTCAGAGTTCTAATAGCGCGACCACTATCGAATACCCACTCAATTCCACTTATTTTTACCAAAAATGCAAGTGTTTCTAGCTTGCACTTAAATAAATTCAAGCTATAGCAAAAATTCCAACGACTCGTTAATAAATAAACAAATTAAGTATCATGAGACGCAATTAAATCGTGAAGCTGAACGCATGACGTACACCTTTCCCTAGAACTTTAAGTACTGACAGAGGTATTGATTGGGTCGACCGGTCAACTGCGACAAATCTGCTATATCTCTTTCCACGTCTTTTAGCGATGTGCACAGTTTCTCGGTTTATTTCATACGTTTGGCAACGTGTTTACTGTTCTCTCTTTGTTCAGTACATTATAAACGCATTGTACTCTTCTTACATACGGAAATCTCGACCCAAGACTAACCTTTGCCAGCCCTTAGTATAACCTAGTAGTAAGTAAGTTCTTTCCTCTGTCTACTAAGTCCATGCTTTAGCATAAAAACCAGAATTAATACTTGGAACATAATAATACTTGAAGAAGTAGATACTTTGACAGTCGATGTAATCATTCAACACCTCTCTTCTGTCTCAACATATATCATGATAACCAAGACTTGGACCTCAGACATTTACATTGATGGGTACGACGGTGTAATTTCCTACAACAACAGACCATAACAACATACCACCTTTCTGTGGAAATAATTACAACATGTTACTCTGAATACTCGAAATTTATTTGAGTCGATTATAATATGTAGAAGAGCTTAATTGAAAATTTTTTGAACTTTAACTTGAAATAAAATATTTTACATGTAGTTAAATAGTTTATAAATAAAGTTTTGTGTATTTTTGTGATTGGCAGCTGAATTAAGCTACTTTCCTCTTGTTTTTGTTGAAAAGAGTAGTTATTTTGGGTAAAATTATGGATCTGTATGGTTTTTTTTATAAAATCTTACACTTAGATAAAAGCAGATCCTCTCTGGTTGGATACATCTTATGTTCTTAGATTCCAAATATCTCCCGGGCATCTTTGTCTACTATAAACAAGAAAAAAAATGCCGGTGTAAAATGGGTTACTTCATTTTTTGCAGTATTTATGTCTTGCTGTATCTTGCTAATTTCTTTATCCCAATTTTCATGGTTATCTATATAACTCCGAACTGCGGTTCCTACAGTCCTATTGTTTCCTTCTACAAAGTTACAATGCGATGAATATACAGGATTAAATCGAATATTAATATCAAAATTTTTGCATAAATTCTTAAATGTTTTACATGAAAATCGAGTTCCATTATCACAAATGATAGTTTGTGGGCAACCATAAACCAAAATAACACGATTTTCTAAGATATGTTCAATAAAATGTGCTTTAGCTGAACGTGATGGAAAAAGAAGAGTAGGTATACTTTGAAAACCAATCAGCTATAATTAACGATTTATTACCTTTCTTTGACCTAGGTAGAGGTCTTATAAGATCTATAGCTATCACTTGAAATGATAAATCAACTACTTTCTTTTTACCCATAAGTCCCATTCTAGCAGTGTTAGGAGCTTTTTGAGCACCACAAACCTCGCAGTTTCTAACAAATCTTAAAATATCCTTTCTCATTTTCGGCCAATAGTGCAATTCTTGAACTCTATTCAAAGTTTTAAAGAAACCAAAATGACCACTTGTAGGCGGGCTATGACAACAATCTATAACTCCATGTCGCTGTGGCTTGGGAACAAGGAATTTCCATTCTGGATCTGTTTTGATTTATAGGAAGACAGTTGGGGCCAAATTTATAAACAAAATCATTTTCGACATTCATAGTTTGCAGCTTCAATATAAAATTTACATTTCGTCTTCTCAATAAAAGTTTGCATTCGATTTTGAATATGTGGTAGTTACTATCCGACTATCCTGTGTCTTTTTAGTAGAACCTAACTAGAAAAAAAGTTAGTTTCAGAAGTTTCTTAATCTTATCTTCAATAATTATTGCTATTGATACCTAGGAAGGCATCAGAGACAGGCATCAGAAAACTCTCTAGAGTTTCTTGATGCGGATAAGAACTGGTTATCAGCCGAACTCTCGACTTCGTCAGTCCGAGCCCAGTTTCAGGTTGGAAAAGGTCAGCTTTGCTATCCCTTCTCTGGAAAAACCATCTACCTCTTTGCTGCCTTGGATTATCTTAATATACAAGTACCCATATCATATCCTGTTATTATTGTGACTTTTTTGGTACTTCGTAGAGCTTGTCTAACTCTATTTGAAGATAGAGTCTTGAGCACTGCCTAACATCACTACATCCTAACATCACTACATATGATGTTTATAGAAATATGTTTATCAAAATACCTTCTTGTTACCTCTACAGACCTAGAAAAAATTACTCATTTTAGATAATACTTCAGTCACTTATTAACTATTTTCAGAATATTCTGAATTGATGTCATAGAAATTACCACGTTACAATTATTAATAATGCATACGATTTAATAAAGAAATAAAATAAAATACAATTAAGCCCCATTTATTCTCTTCCGTATTTTAATTATCTAATTAACAGCGGCAGCGTTAAATACAGCCAGTCCTAGTTTGCCCGTAAAACAATGTGTGGCTTTAATGGAAATGAAGAATTAGCCACGATTAAGGCCTAAAAACCAGTCGGGAGGCGTGTGCCGCGAGACAGCAGCGGCGAGAGCAGATCTTTCTTTCTCCACAACAGAACCACGAAGAAAATCTTCCGACTCACATCTCGCCAGTTCTTCATCCGGTTCGGTATCGTCGTCCGGAACCACCGACCCGGGTACCATTGCTCCCCTCTCGGCCGAAATATCTCTCGATTTGCCGGCATTTTACAGTAATTTCTGCTCTATTTTACCGCTACGATTTATTAACAAAAACTTTAGTCTATGTCGTGGTAGCGGTCGCTTCGTTTCAGCACGGTACCGAAACGGTACCTTCTGGTTCTTGCGTCTACCGAGATTTATCGATGAATCAGTGGACTTTTGTTTACGTATGGTAATTTAGAGTGAGTGAAAATGCCGTGTTTGAGCAGTGCTAAACGATGTCTGAAGAATAAAACGAAAGAGATCAAACAGAGGAAGAAAGGCAAAGAGAATGAATTGCAAGAGAAGAAACGAAAATCGAAGAACCGCTGGAAGAATTGTAAGTGGCAAAATTCATTTAATTTGTAACTATTACATACACTACAGAACTACAGTCTTTGTATTCATTGTTGTAATCCGACACAATGGGTGATTATTAGTGTCTTATAGTAGTCAGAAATATAATAATAGATTTCTGATTTATAAACTACTAATCCTTATTACTTTTCTATCACGATTTCTAAGTGTTGTCCAGTCCATATCGAAGTGCATATTTCCATTCATACAAAAGATATTTAAATATTACCTAGTCATATTTTTTTCTCAATAACAAGGGGCCGTCCTCTGCCGGAAACACTGCGACCTGTGAGGCCTGTTGTGTTTGTCCATTTCTATACCCATTCTACAACCCATTTTCTCCAACCCATTCTCCTATCCTAGGATGGGAGTATAGTTCCTCCGGCTCTAGCCTAGCTTTCCCAAATAAAAAGTGATCTAGAGCCTCGCAGTGACATATTATGTGCTGCGCTGTTTCAGGATCTTTATCGCAGAGTCTGCAGCAAAGACTTCCTTGATACAGGTTGAACTTCTTCAGGTAACACTTGATAGGGATGTGTCCTGTCAAGCGGCCTGTTCTTTTTTCTGTTTAGAGTTTTTGTTCTGTTTAGAGCTAGGCTATTATTACGTTGGATAAAAGCCTTCCTGTACCTGTGCCCCTGTCTGTCTCTCCAGTAGACATTCTGCTTTTCCCTGATCTAGAGTTTTAATGCACTACGGGCCATACATTTGGGTATTCCCAGTACTGGCTCTGGACCAAGATAGGATGTCGATGATCCTTGGCTACCTAACTCATCAGCTTTTTCGTTCCATTGTGACCCGGCACCCAGAATAGTTTAATTCTGTTCCTTCGTGCTAGAGATTCCAGTTCACCTAGGCATTCCCAGACGAATCTCGACGATACCTTTGGGCTCATAAGCGCTCCAAGTGCCGCCTGACTAAGTTCTTCTATTGTTTTCTCTCGCACATTGTAGAATGGCAAAGATTTCTGTCTGGAATGCGGTAGAGTATTTACCCAAGGAAAAGGATAAAGTTACCCTTGGTCTTTCACCAAATACTCCAGCTCCTGTTCCTTCAGCGGTCTTTGACCCGTCTGTATACCAGGTTAGTCCGTCCTGAAGGAATATTATATCTGCCCACATTCCTCGATCCATTTTGTTTACCTCGAATGGTTTGTGGTAGTGATAAAGAGGGGTCATTTGGTCCGATCTCCATCTAGTCATATAGCATCAGTGAAAATATTTGTCATTAAGAGATACTTTATTTTATTCAAAACTGTACGACATAAAAATCAATCTCTATCTTTGCATCGAATAGAGTCTCACTTGTAATACTATTGCCGTCTATATACAATAATTGCTGCTTTGATTTACCACTAGGATTTATTAACAAAAGTTTTAGTCTATGTCTTGGTAGCGGTCGCTTCGTTTCAGCATGGTACCTTCTCTGGTTCTTGCTTCAACAAAGAATTATCGATGAATCAGTGGCCTTTTGTGTACGTATGGTAATTTAAGAGAACACCTAATCACTGAGTTCGCCGAGACTACAACCATTGGGTTTTCGGTTTCCTCTTACCGTCTACAAGCTCACCGTAATGAAAGGATTTTGGTAGGTAGTTTTCTGGCATAAAAAAAATACACAAAGCTAAACGGTGTCTGAAGAATAAAACGAAAGAGATTAAGCGGACGAAGAAAACAAAGATATAACCTTAGCCTCTTCTTATTCAAAAGGTTGAGGGGACATCATCATAGAAAAACTGACCTCGATGAATAAGGATTATTGAATGAGACACAACAGAGTTAGCGTTATGCTGGTGTGCTGCGCTGATGATGCAGCCATTATCGTGGAGATGGAAAATAAACATTATGATCTCCACTTTTTCCAAAGACCCAGTAATTGGTAGCAAATTGGTAGTAGAAAACAAAATTATTGAGCAAGTATCACAATTTAGATACCTAGGCACTTTTAGAAATTGTACTACCACGACGTCACTACCAGACTAAACAAACTTCGGTCTACAAGATATATTTGTGTAAAACCTAACAAAAAAATTAACCAAAAGGTCCAAAAATTAATTCACACTTTAATATTTATTTCCTCAAGTTTGTTGCAAAATAAAAGACCCAACCCAGTTGCCAAATTTTCTGAAACCATTAGTCACAGTTTTCACACATTTTTTCACCAAAACAACTTGAAATTCAAATTATTCATCAATTTATATTCCGTACTACTATATTTCCGATAACTGTGTTACATCCTATTAAGACACGATTTTTTTCTGAATGCGCTTAAAGCCGAATTAATAACTAACACGGCGCTGTATTTGGATTTGTGTTAGAGTTCAATAAAAATGGAAATAGATGTTAAAAAGAAGGGGAAACAACTGAATACCTATTAATAAATAAACGGCACACTTTGATAGGTTATCGACATTTATTAAAGCATTAAATATTTATAGACGGGTATTATTGATTTCGATGTTTCTGATAGCGTTTTGTATCATCTACTGCGACAAGCATTAAAGCCACCGGTCGATAGGGGTGGTTATCTGTTAATTTTTTAGCGTACATTTGCGTCAGTGGATGTTAAACGGTTTCGCAAGGATTAATTTGGAAATTAATTATTGTGACATATATGGATAAAGACAGTTTGTTTTATAAAGGTAAATATATAAAAACATAATTTTCTAACCTTTTATTTTGTATTAAATATATATATTAGAAGCTTTGATTAATAAATTTACAGTAGGCAAATTAAATTTTCTCATAAATTATTTAAAAGTTAATTGAAATATAAGTGCAAGTATTTTAAGGGATGGTAGATCTCGATAAAAGAAACATATATTCTCTTTATCGTTTTTCAAATAAGTCCAAAATAACGGAGTTATTTTACTTTGAAAATTTCCAAAGAAAAAATGATTTTTTGCTAAAATTTTGAGAACCACTGGACCTTTTCTGGATTTTCTTTCTGGTAAATTTAATCTAATGCCTATGTTGCTATATTATCAAGAAATAATGTTTTTTAACTAAAAACTAAACAAAAATCCAAAAAATTTCAAATTTTCAATTTTTTTTTTCGCGAAAAAAACTTCATAGGCATGTATCGGGGGTTGAACTATAGTATCAGTTAAAATATTTGCACTTATTTATGGGACACCCTGTATAAAATAAATTAGGATTGATTAACATATTCAATTATTTTTGGTCACTTTCTGTTTTACCGGAAATGACTACAACTTGTGATTTTTAAATGGCACCCTCGGTATTTTTTTTACTTTATTTGATACAAAATGGCACTCTGAAGGGAATGACGTATCACAGACATGTCAACTTTTGACATTTTATTTGAAATTGTAAGATGCAGTTTATAATGACATTTCGACTCGAAGTACCAAGTGTGAGATTTCAAATTATTCATAAAAAAATGCTTTTTCGAAATATGCTAAAGAGCCACCCTCGTATCATTTGAAAAAATGAGATATGATTAAAAATACGATTTGGGCATCTCTTAACCGGCCAGGACAAGACACGAAAAACATTAGACGATCAAATATATTTTTCCAAAGCTCCTTGATTAAAAATTAGTGTTTTTAACACAGCCGTGGCACTCTGGATTGAAATTTAAAATACGATATTTTTTAGCAATAATGTCAAAAGTTGACATATGATATGTCATTCTATTCAGAGTGTCATTTTCTATCGAAGAAAGTAAAAAATACCGGGGTGCTAAAATAATTTCCGGTAAAACAGGAAGTGACCGAAAACAATTGAATTCGTCAATCAATGGGTGGAGGGGGAGGCTAATTTATGTCATACCAAATCTTTTTTTTATCTGAAAAAATAAAAAAGTTATAGGGGTGAGCCACTTTTGAGACGCATCCGGTATGTATGTACAAGGTGTCCCGAAAATAAATCCAAGTATTTTAGCTGGTAGTATGGTTCAACACCAGAAACACACCTATGAGTTTTTTTTCGCGAAAAAACAATTTTGAAAATTCGGAATTTTTTGATTTTTTTTTGAAATTATTTTAGTTTTTAGTTAAAAAACATAATTTCTTGTTAATATGGCAACAGAGGTACCTAGTAGATTAAATTTACAAGAAGAAAATCCAGAAAAGATCCTGTGGTTCTCAAATTTTTAGCAAAAAATCATTTTTTCTTTGGAAATGTTCAAAGTAAAATAACTTCGTTATTTTGGACTTATTTGAAAAACGATAAAGAAAAAATATATTTCTCGATATTTCTTTTATCGAGATCTACCACCCCTTAAAAGACTTGCACTTATTTCTGAGACACCCTGTATTGAATTAGGATGATTCCTAATTATTGTAATTAGGGATAATTAATATTTATTGTAACTTCTCTCTCGATGTTTTACCAAAAAACACTTAATGAACTTTACGAAAAATAGGGTATTTTATATTTTTCAGCCATTATTTTGTAATAAAATATAAAAAAACGTCGAAGTTATATACGATTTGAAGTTGAACTTCAACCTTCAATAACTTTCAAACGAGTCGATTAAATGAAAAATCACATCAAACCTTTTTTGAAGAACATTAAATTTTCTATAAAAATATGCTTTGATTTTTACAATACGCTGATTTTTTAGAACGCAATAATATTCCAAAAAAATTCCCTGTGTCATTTAAATGAGAAAATATAGAAAATTACGATGAGATACATCTTAATTAATATTCATATCTCAAACTAGAATTTTCACGGAAATTAAAAGAAAAAATCCTTTTTTTTTTTGGTGCACCCTATAATGTATATTGGTTATTTTTATACATATTAGTTTCTTCTGGTTTGATCACCAATCAAAAATTTAAAAAAAAATATTTTGGCGTATTGTGGTAATCTAGTGTAATTTAGCTATCAATATCAAAATATGTATTATCTAATATTCGAATTTCGCTTACGGTTTCAATTATTCCTGAAACTAATTTAAACAAGTAATTTCCTGTAGGTTTACCTTCCACAACCACTATTTCAACAAAACCGC